CATGTTTGGGGATTTTTACAAAGATTGGATCGACGAATAATAAATAGTAGTTGGAATGTCGTTTTCCCGACTTGCGAATATATCAGAATAAAAAAAATTATAGAAACTCTCTTTTGAATACTTTGAGAATGAGAGTGGTTCAAAAACGCCGCACACGACAGTCGTCAAAACCCACCATCGGCATTTACTCTTTTTTAGCATATTTAGAGGCTTAAAACTCATAGCCAGTGCGAATACCTTTCACTGACAGTGTTCTAACTAAAAGAAGGGTGTGAAGAGAACGCGACGCGAGAACAAGCAAAAAATTGTAAAGGTTTTCTTTTTATACAGCGTGCTGAAATGGAACGAAAAGTGAAAACCCTCTCTGTTTCATAGTTTATTTCTCAGTACTCGTAAATGATAAAAACACAAACTTGCATAATTTGGAGGGCAACGAAAGGTTCTACGCGTGTTATTACTTTCACAGCAATACTAAACATAGTCGACTCGAACAAAAATCCGCAATTTAGGTCACAGTTGTTCGCGGATTAATGTTTGAGGTGTTTTACAAAGATTGAGCTTGAGAGTGATTTAAAAACGCCACAATGGACAATCGTCAAAACCTCGTCGTTCGTTCCCGCTTCTTTGAGATTTTTTTTTTTTTTTTTTTTGTCAGAAACTAAACATGTCAGGACATTAAAATAAAAAGGGTTGTTCTTCTTGGAACATGCGCCACGAATTATAAAAATTTGAAGCAAAATAAGAAGTACGACTACACCTCGTTGCTTGAATCCTAATGAAACCGCCCATATGTAAACGTTTTTTTAGCAGGGAAGTATTAATAACGGCGTTGAGCATGTTAAAGTAATATAAAATTCGATTTGTTTGAAGTAATTTTTTTATAAATATATGCACGTGACGGGGTACGAATCTTTTTTTCTTTTTCTGGCAAAACTATTTCTCGTAATGGCCAGAACAAATATTTTAATGTGTTTCTGCATGCTTGCATGTACTAGCTATAGCCACCGACAGCATGAGAACAGCAAGGCGTCTTCTTTAGAAGCCCAGCTATTGTGTCTGGAATGTGGCCGGAACGCGTTTGTCCGTGGTGTATTTACCGCGCCCAAAAAAACTGGTCCCTCGATTTCCGCCTGATGACGCCACAGAAGTGTCATGCCGTCGCCGGTTGCGCAGCTGTGGTATTTGTGGCAGACGCCTGTTCTACTGCAGGTCGCTCTCCAGTTCCACAGTCCACGGAAGTTTCGGCAGCAGGGGTTAAGACGCCGCGATGACAGCGACACTTGCGTTCGCTCGTGCTTTTCGCCAGCATTTCCACGACCAACCGCCAGGATCGCGACACCCGACAGCATGACACTCCGGCTTCTGTGACGTCATTTGTTGCCTCTTCAGGACAGCTTTTGGTATACGGGCAGGATAGGACGTCGGAGACGCGTTCGTCGCCTTTTATATCAGGGGTTGGGCTGCGAGTGCACACTCAAGGCCTACGAGACGCTTCATCGAAGGTAGAAAGCTCGCGCTGGACAACTGAAAGACCTCCCTGTTTGTGATCAGCGCGGCTATAAGCCCCTGCACGTGCATGTGCACGTGCGAAGTCGGCAACATTTGAGAAGCTGCGTTCGAATCTTTCATAATGCGGGACCACGCCGAAGACAGCGGGGCGCGGAGGTGGAAGATGTCGGGCGACAGCATAGTTATTCTAATGTACGCTAGAGGTCCAACTGGCGCTAGTGTGCTGACGCGAATCGAAGCAGAAGCAACCAGTCGGAAATTGTCTTCCGGTAATGCATTTTATATAAGTAAACGAGCGCATTTGCTCCCTGCGCTCGATTATAAGAGAAAATATCACGCATAATTCGTACGTACTAGGTAGCTTGGAACATTTCTCAGTCAGGCAGACGAGATAATTGGTCAGCTACGACGACTTTCATTCAGAGTCATGCCGTTAAACACGGCGCTGAAACAGCTTCATACACGCATTCATGTGCACTGTTGGACACTGTTAGCGCGAACGCGACGTCAGGGCTTCTCAGCATGAAGGATATACGCGCCAAACGAACGAAGGACATCTGGAAAACCAAGAGAGGCGGCAAAAACTACGCAGTGGATCAGTAACTCCCTGCACATGTACGATCAAAATTAATTGGAGGCCACGTAATATAGTCCGATTTGCAATAAAAAAGAGTACTTCTTTATTATTTTCGCTCTTAAATATGCCCAAGATGCTTGCTCTGCCTTCAAAGCATCACCTGATGCTCGAAATTTTTGAAATTAGGAAAACGTCAGAAAACAGGTGCTCGATAAAAGCTGCCCGGCATAAAAAAATAATCAAAAGAAATACCTTTCATAGCCCACGTACGTTATTCTTTACGTTTCGAACGTTTTTAAGCACTCGATGCACGACGGGGTCCTTTTCATATAGTGACAGGACCGGTACATTAGGAATATATAAGCGTTACCGGAATGCTGGAGAAACTTGAACTAACTCTACATTCTGTTCGATTGTTATTTTTTCTTAGAATCGTCACTCCTTTTTATACAGCTGCTATAGAACAGAAGTTTAGGTTTGAAATATAGCGAAGTTTAACATCGTTCACTGGTGAATACAAATGCTGTATATAAAACTATTACACTCTTACAATGCTAACAAAGGTACATAGTATTTGGTACGGCCGAAATAACAAAAGTTATCCGTTATTTTCCGGCGAAGAGAGAACATGCACGCGCGTTTTTCCATAGGAATGCACAGGAGCACCGCAAAAGTAGGCTGGTTGCTGTCTGCTTCAATTTGCGTTCCGGAAGTTGCATAGAAAATAACGCCAGTTCAACCTCTAGCGTGCATTGCAATAACTGTGAGGGCGACAGACACGGGCTCTTCTGATTTCCCCTGGCCTGGCCTATGCCTGGTTGAAGCCCTATACATCAGCCGACGCCGTCTTTCCCAGTGCGCCAACCAAACGCCGACGCCGATCCACCTGAGGTCCACCAGCCTCATCCTCGTCCTGACTGACCAACACTTCATTGCCCAAACATCCAAAGCAGCCAGCCCTCAGTCAACAGATCAGTTTCGTCCGTTAACTATTTACTCTTTTTCATAAATCGCTCCAAAATGTTTTACTGCTTCTTTGAACCCTGACTGTGAGACGAATATATCTTGTTGTCACTCCCCAAAGAACACTTCCTCTTGTAATTTGAATGTTTAGGTTTTTATGTGTGTGTGCAAATGGGCCTCGTTTACATTCACTGCGAGAATCAAGTATCCCGATAAATTATTAGCACTCCTAACCGCCCCCAAATCATCGCACTGCTCATCCTGTCAGTGACTCTAGGCATCACAATGATTGTTTGAGCGAGCTCTCTAAATAAACGCCTGTGGGGCAGGCGACTGGGTGCCTGATGTGGTGAAGTACGAGACACGACGAGGTTTCATTGTTTCATTACCTTTAGGTAAAACAAGATGACGTCACTTATCATTAACCAAGCACGTCGACAACACGTACATCGCTCAAGTGTCAGTTTTTGAGAATGAGCAAGACGACGAAGTCCAGATAAAGCATGTGATAACTCGTGCTGTTGATGAACATGTGAGGTCAGCGATAACTGCCAATCCAATGTCCGGCAGACCCCGCGTAAAAGGGATCTGACGTGAACGTTTCACAGCCTTGGCGCGTTATTTAATGTTCGCCAAAGTCTCACGCACGCCGTGATGTTTACCATCAGCATTCGTCAGGCTCCACCAGTCAGGACCGGGTTCGGACCTACACACTGAAGATTTGTCTAGCCTCGATATGATATCCGAGCTAAAACTGGCAACACTCGACGCATTAACGCGTGTCCTTGGTAGGGAAAACAAACTACATGGCTCTACTCTTCTCACGTAAACGCGCGCGTGATTAACGAGCATGCCAAAGCACACACATTTTATCCTGAGCAAGAACAAGGCTGCAAGTGCGACATTATGGCGTTCGCGCTTAGGCGCGAGCAACAGCTGGCCTGACAACCTTGAAAGTCAAAAGCTGCCGTTTCTAGCCTTTACTGTGGCTTATTTGTATAGAGCTTTAGGCCGTTGTTCTTTAGCCGTAAGCAGAAATCATAAAGAACAAAGGCCGTGGGCAACATTCTTCGATTCCCATCGCCAACGACCGACATCCCGAAGAATGCCTCGTGCACAAAGGCAAACAAACGCTCCTCTTTCTGTCTCTGCAGCCCTATATGTATGAGGATTCGGCAAAAAAAAAGGCCAATAAAGTGACTCGTTTGGCTGCTGCGCCCACAACTCGTGGTTCGCGCACAGAAAAATACCTCTGAGTCATATGCACTTTACGTAAGGCCTCGCAAAAGCCCTTTCGTCCATGAGTCAAATAAACCGAAACCATGCCACTCAGATCAGTGCCAACCGGTTCCCAGAATGCATCGCGCGCGGAGTTGCATGCTGGAATTTATGAGTGGTCTATTAATTGCTACCAGAAGAGTCACCGTGTTCCCCACGTGAGCATGCCAGTGACGCTAATCTTTTTCTTTTCTGCCTGTGGCATTCACACTCCCCCCCCCCCCCCCCCCCCCCCCCGCTTCCTTGACGATATGTATCTTGATTGCACCGTTTTAAAAATAAGAAGTCGCGCATTTGGATAATGTTTGTTTTGTTGTACTTCGCGAAGAATTTTGATCAAGCTGGCGCCATTATTAGGTGAAACCAATCTCTCTCTACTGCACATTGAAACACATCTATGTCTTCTCAAACAGCTACCTAATGTGAGTTTAGGTCCACGAAGTGCGTCGGCTTTGTAAAGACACATGCGACACATTCACGCGGCACAGTTATAGCATGCATGCCCTTGAGTGATCGAGCAATATCCACCTGCGCGCAAGAAACAAATCCCGAATCTCAAAATATCAAGTATATTTGTCGAAAGCGCTTCCACGAGGACATCCAAATTGCGTTTTGTAGACATCGAGGCAGTTGGCACCAAGCAGCCATACCTCGCTTATATAGTCGGACTCACCTGCCATCAGAAGAAAGCCTGCAAAGAGGAACCACATTGTAGTCGCAATCAGTGCCCGTGGGATGGAGTTTCGTGTACGGCAGAACCTTCGTCCAGTTACCTTCAACGAACTGGTTGAACGGAAGAGGTTAGGCTGCTGCGGTGAAGCACTTGCAACGCTGCCTTCGACGCGGCACAGCCCATCGTATCCTATAGTTCGTCCTCCCGATAACGGAGGGGCGACAAACGCCGATATGAAAGAACAATGGTTGACCATGGCTGGTATAAGAGGAGAACGTACATATTTTATCTGAAGACACGATAACGATGATTACGCTCGATGAAAACGGTGTTAGAAGCTCTCCAAATGTGCGGCCTCTAGGGACAAATTAAGCTATGTTCCACCATGGTCGCTGACAGGTTAAGAACCCAGTAGATGCTCTGCCTCCAGTACGCGCTCGTTGACAGGCTGCGCGTGCGTCAAAGCATTATAGAAAGCAGGAAGCTTGAACCAGAGGCGGAGCATTGTCCCCGATTGTATTAACCCTTCCAGAAATGGGCTTGAATGCACGGCCATCCCTGTCTACTGGGTTGTGGAACGTCCTTTTTGAACATGCACAGCAGCGCTCTTCAACGGAATATCAGACGCTGCGTATGCGTCCACTGCAGAGTGACTCGCCGTTTTTCTTCGGAGTGCTAACCGCTCGAAAGGTGTATAAGTATGGAAGAATAAAACGCCCCCTAAGATGGTGCCTGTTTTCATGGCCAAATTTAAGATGCGCACGTGTCCTCAAAGAGCGACTTTTATATATGTGTAAAAAAATGGAAGGACATTTGTCTTTTAGGAAGAAATTCTTTATTGTGAAATGGCAACTGTCCTCGTCCATCACGTCACATCCCTCCGCGACCGCTAGGGCTGGCCACTTGATGAATGAACCTGTTCATCGGTTAATGTTTGACAAACAAAAAAGTAAATATATATATATATATATATACTTTCACTACGCAGACATGAACCAGTGCACCTGTGCGAAGGCAAACTTTACGCGAAGTTTTGACCTACGTGTAAGGGCGAGATTTGTAACTCCAAACAAAGGGAGGAGGTTGCCACGGCCACTTCAACGCAGTGCGAGCGTCCGTTTAACGCAGCAGAGATTATTGTGAAAAATCAAAGAAGTTAACTATTGTTAAAGAATATCGACCAGCCTCTTTGTTACTGCAGCTGAAGTAATTATATGCGAGTGTGGGTGTACTTTGACTGTTCTCAACGACACTTCAAGGTTGATTTAAAATCCGAAATTCTACATTGTGCCCTTTATCACAAAGTCAGCGAAAGCAAGAAATGTAATTTTGACTTTTTTAAACTATATGCATGGGAATAAACAAAACCGATTAATCTATTCGCGCGATTAATCTAATATATTTTGCTGAATCCTCAATTAATTGACTAAAGGATGACGATTCATCGGGTTAAAGGGCCCCTGAAATGAAAAAAAAAAGTTTTTTTAAACAGTCTGGTTGGAACACGCGTGTCAAAAAATGAATTTTACGCGAAAAAAAAATTTTTTAGAGCAATATTGACGGCGAGAGATTTATTTGAAGTTTTGCGCGCAAATTCCATGGTCATTCAGCTCGGCTTCTCATTGGTAGCGATGGTCATTCAACTCAGCTTCTCATTGGCCAATAGAATGAGTGACAGCTTAGATGTTGGTTTTAAAATCTTCGTGATTTTTTTAAATCGCCTTTTGAATTACATATTTTTAGGTTTAAGAAACAATCCATCGAATGAATGTCGCAATTGTTTACAAACGTTTTACAAAATCGTAACTTCCGTTCGGATACCACAACAAAACAACAAACAAAAGCTTCGCCATTTTGTTTTCTGTCGTGGTCGCCGTCTTCGCGTTTCGCGTTCTGAAGAGGGCTTGTTGCTTGTGTTAGTTAGTCAGTCATAGTAAGTACTTAGAAGGTGGCGCGGGGTGACAGGTTTCTGTTTTTCTGCTCTTCTTTGCGCGATTCGTGTGTCCCGTTTACCTCATCTTTTGTTTGTTTTCTGGCGCGCGCCAGTGCCAATGTTTGTTTAGATGTCGGTTCCCGTGGTTCCCGTAAAGAGTTTAGTGAGGCACGCGGCACCGCACTCAACGTTTAATAAAAAAAAAAAAATCAGTTACCACTGCGTGTCCTCGCGGCGGCTTGAAGGATCGTGCGGCTCGAACGAACTCGTCGAGGCACCCGCTTCGCCGCGGCGAAGCGGGTGCCTCGCGGCGATCGGAGCGGACGCCTTCCGGCTGGCGAGGCGTGTCCTCGTACGGACGAAGGCCCAGCTGCTGGCAGCGTTGAAGCAACCGACGCTTCAGGTCGGGGTCCACCGCGACGACTATGTACTGTATGTACGACCACGGTGACCACGGTACGTGCACGATACGACGCGGTATGTCGTTCGACCGGCAGACAGCCGGCCAGGGGCTGTGTTCCAAATCTCCAAATGCATCCGAGTTTCTCCGGCGGATCGTATCACGTGACAGCACAGATTGAAAAACGCTGTACGCGGGTAGGTTTTAGAACGCCAAGAGTACAAAACCCTCACCCTGGGGTAAGATCGAGTCAATTTTGGAACACGGCCAGGAAGTAGCAATGGCTCTCGTGCGGGGCGCAGCCAAGCCAGGAAAGCAGCCAAGCCGATCCACTATGAAGAGGCGGGGACTACCTCTCCTCCACGCGCCCGAGATGCCGAGAGAGAGAAAAGTGGAAAGGAGGTGACTGCCGACTAAATTGCGTCTGGCGCAGTCAATATTGCTCTAAAAAAATTTTTTTTTCGCGTAAAATTCATTTTTCGACACGCGTGTCTCAACCAGACTGTTTTTGAAAAACTTTTTTCTTCTTTTCAGGGGCCCTTTAAGAGTTTTTATCCACACCCAGTAACCTCTTTCTAATTTCCTCCTCCTCCTCCTCGTCCCCCGAGCCAATACCTTGATGTAAGCGTCCCGTCATCCAAATATCCTCGAAGCTATTTTTTTTTCGGTCCTGATCACAAATAATCGAAGGAGCCTGATGGCACTCCTAACGTGTTTGTGAAGCAATGTGCAAATTGGTGTTTAAAGTTGTTGTTGTTGTTTGTTTTTTCACGCGGTCCTTATTGAAGGTGGTTGTTTCCGTCCATTTAAATATACAGCAAAAGTCATTCCTCTTTACAAAATCAAAGGGATCTAACTGAACAACTACAGCCCCGTATCTTTGCTATCGGCATGTGCCAAGGGTTTGTAGCCTGTTATTTTCAAGCAGATATTTCTTCTTCTTGAAATCAAGAACTTTTCAAATCTACTCAAAAAAATAAGTACCAAAATTAAAAGGCACGTTTGAACGGTACTTATAACTAGGGTGGCTTGTTTTTAGCACATGCCGAAAAACCCCAAGGTGATTTAATCAAAATCAACCCAACCTCCCCCCCCCCCCCCCCAAAAAAAGAAGAAAGAATCGAAGCGTTTCTTTTACAGGAAAAATCTACGCTTCGCGTGAAGAAATATTTACTTTATTTTGTGTAGACCAGACTTGTACCGTATTCATTTAAAGTAATAAAGTTACTTGTAATCGACTTTCCTCTAAATGTGTAATTATTTCATTACATTTATTGGGAGTAATCACACCAGTGATCACTTTTGGAAATAGTAAATTTACTTGTAACTGTTACTTTTTTCCACTCCCGTTTTAAATGGCGCCTTTTGTTCGTACAATTTTCCTACTAAAGGATCTTCTATGATAATGGTTTACCAAAATTTATGAATTAAGAAGGTAATTGTTTAATAATTAAAAATCCCCTGAAAAGAAAGAAAACGTTTTTTTAACAGTCTGGTAGGGACACGCGTGTCAAAAAAAAGTCAAATTTTCGACAAAAATAGAATTTCTTTAACGCAATATTGATGGCGCGAGGCGCAATTTAGTCGGCAGTCACCTCCTTTCCACTCGTTTTCTCTCTCTTCATTTCTGGCGCGTTGAGGAGAGGTGGAGCGGCTTCGCCTTCACGACCGAGATGGTCATTCCGGAATGACCAGTGACGTCATGAACTCCCGAGCGCAGAAATTCAAATAAATCTCTGGCCGTCAATATTGCTCTAAATTGTTTTTCGCGTAAATTTATTTATCGACACGCGTGCCCCAAACAGACTGCTTTAATTTTTTTTTTCAAGGGCCCTTTAAGTGGTTCTAATCCAATAATGGACAGTACGAAATACACGTTTTCAAACCGGCAGAGAACTCTGTCGTTTTGAAACTATGAAGTAATCGAAGTAACGATCTATTTTTCGCGTAATGGCCAATTACGTTTCGTTCACAGTAACCGAGCAATATAATTGAATACTTGTATACCAAAACTAATTGTAATTGTAATCAATAACTTTTCTTCAGTAACGTGTATAAGGCGGAACACAACCTCTATTAAAATGTCCACGAGCCTGCTTCTTTGATCAAGATCCGCACCCCTTATCGCGCCTCTTATCGGTACAGGAACGTTTTCCGAGTATTGCGGTCACGCGCACATTCCCTGTAGATTGGGGAGTCCCATGCCCCATCGATAAGCACCGACCTTAGTCCAACACCGAATATTGACACCAGAAAACACCGACTCTGTGGAAAAAATAAACGGAGATAAAAAGAAGAAAACAAAAGGCCGGATTTGAATAAAAGTAAGCCCCGATTCTGCTGTAGGTTGACTTTCGCAAAGGCAGTTCTTTGTATAAAACGGAATGCCAAAGAAGAATTAGAAGTAAAGCAACGCGGAGGAGACAGCTAACTCTGTGAGCACCTGATAAAACACTTAATCAAGGGGTACGAATGATACGGGTTGGTCGTCAGAAGATAGAACTAGAAGAAAGACTAGGAGAAATTAATGGGGGACGAAGGTGAGACGAGTTTTCAACTGTTTGTACATGAAAAAGAGTCCGACACAAGATAGAGAAGACGAACTGGAAAACTTCGATTATCACTTTTAGTAAATATGTAGTAGGAATGCGGAGGAGGAAATGCCAGTTAAGATTTGGGTTTAAGCAGCAGAGAGGAAATATGGGTTGCCGGTACGCGGATTAAATCGTTGCAGGCTAAAAAAAGCGGGACAAGCTGCTCCGTCAAAGCCCTCCACTCTTTCCCATGTAGCACAGCGAACGCTGGAGAGGGAGAAAGTGGACCCGCTTCCTCTCCAGCGTTCGCTCTGCTAAAATGGGAAGGGTGGAGGGCCTTGAGATGTAGTGAGCTAGATCTCAG